GAGACGAGGCAAGCTGAGTTTACTGCTTTACTCTTTAGCTCATTCTCAATAACATTGTTGATTACATAAGCTCACTTTTGTTTTTGCCTATATAATGTGTTCGTGCAACTACAAGTTACAACTCTCTGGTTTCCTACTCGATCGATTTGACTTTGCAAATGCGGTGTTACTCTCTATATGAATTGTTGCTATATGTAATAGGGGTGTTGTGATGTCAATAACAGAGGCGCTTTACATCAGCTTTATACAAAGAGGAAGAATGCCCAAGAGGCTACGTATTATCACAAGCTTCCATAACTTGGAAGAAGAGAATATTGCAGTAATAATAAAGAGAGATCTTTAGTATCCTTAACATTATATACAGTTTGTTGCACCTTTCATAATTCGACTTTTGAAGCTTCTTGCATGGTTGCAAGATCAGCAGAATATTTTAAAAAAGTAAATATTAAAGGTAAAACGTTGTTAATTTGGTAAGTCAACTTCGTACATATCTTAATCAATAAAAAGATTTTGCTGACAAAAAATAAATCAATAGAAAGAGAAACAAAAAGGAAAAAAGAAGAAGATTTAAAAAAGAAGCGCGTTAAAAATTAAATAATACAAGAGTCAAATAGATTTCTTGCATCTTGACAAGGTGACCTTGTCCGAAAAACCTCAACCCATCTGTGTGCAGTCTCCGCGTCTAAAATTAATTTTTTTCTACTTCAATATATATTGTCCCTAAATCTTCATCGTCTCACCTAATCTTAAGATCTTTGAATAAATATATATAAAGTGGCTATCCTTATTACGTGCATTAGCTAAGTCGCTTTCTCATCCTCTTCCGTTCACTATCATCTCTTCATTTTGCGTTGAATCACTCAGACAGATTTGTCCCTTTCATTACGTGTCCCCCAAGATCTGAATCTCTTCTTCTATCTCCCTTCCTCTGTAAGGTACTGCAACTAATCATAGCGTTTGTGATATATTTATTATTCTCTTATAAGCTCGTATTCTCTTTTACTCTGAACAACGTCATCTCATCTTTTTGCTTTTGTTGTAATTTAGATTTCTGTTTGCTACTTGTTTTCTTCAGGAGGGAGCTATAAAGATCAGAGTCAAGCATGGCATCTCATAACCATTTCACTAGAACCAACTCAGCCCGCTACGTTAGTCACTCAGGAGGAGACATCGAACTGAGCAGTGTCGACCCAACCATATCTCAAAAAGTGGAAGAGCAGTACGTCTCCAACTCCATGTTCACTGGAGGTTTCAACAGCGCCACAAAGGCTCACCTCATGGACAAAGTCATCGAGACAGAGACCACTCATCCACAAATGGCTGGTTCCAAAGGATCTTCCTGCGCCGTCCCCGGCTGTGGCGCTAAGGTTATGAGCGATGGGAGAGGCCAAGATCTTCTCCCTTGTGAATGTGACTTCAAAATCTGTAGAGACTGTTTCGTGGACGCCGTTAAAACCAACGGTGGGATTTGTCCTGGGTGTGAGAAACTGTACAAAAACACTGATCTTTTGGCTGACCAGAATGATGGTTATAATGGTCAGCAGCAGAGGCCTCCCGCCCCTGAGGGTGGTAGTAGTAGAGGGTCAAAGATGGAGAGGAGGTTGTCTTTGATGAAGTCAACTATTAATAAATCGGTTTTGAAGAGGAGTCAAACTAGGGATTTTGATCATAACAGGTGGTTGTTTGAGACTAAAGGGACTTATGGTTATGGGAATGCTTTTTGGACAAAGGATGGGAACTTGGGGAGTGCTTACGGAGATGGTGAAGGTGTAGAGATGCAAGATTTGATGCGTAAACCTTGGAGACCGCTTACTAGGAAGCTCAAGATTCCTGCTGCTATTATTAGTCCATACAGGTAAGAGACAAAAGTTTTTGTTGTTCTTGTACTCTTTAGAGCTATACTTTTAACTACATCCATAATAATGTTCTAAAAACCAGTCTAGTCACAAATCTGCCATAGTTGAAAAGGTTTTCTTAAAATCCAATTTACACAATTTAAATCAGTCTAAACCGTTTTAAATTTGTTAAAATTGGTTTAAATCGATCTAAATTAGTCTAGATATGTTAAACTAAAACAATAATGTTAGTGCTAGATTATTTTTTAGTGTATGTAATCTTTATAATTCATCAAAATAATTTTATAATTAAATTTTAAAAACTTAAATATATTGTGTAAATGTAATAGAAATGTTTTATTTTATTTTTTAATTTGCAGGCTATTGATATTTATCCGTGTAGTTGTTCTTGCACTGTTCTTGACATGGAGGATTAAGCATCAAAACGAAGACGCTATATGGTTATGGGGAATGTCTGTAGTTTGTGAGCTTTGGTTCGCCTTTTCTTGGCTTCTTGATCAGCTCCCTAAGCTATGTCCCATCAACCGTGCAACCGATCTTCAAGTCCTCAAGGAGAAGTTCGAAACTCCAACAGGAAAGTCCGACCTCCCTGGTCTCGATGTATTTGTCTCTACTGCAGATCCCGACAAAGAGCCTCCTCTAGTCACTGCCAACACCATCTTATCCATTCTTGCCGCGGACTATCCAGTTGAGAAGCTTTCTTGCTATGTATCCGATGATGGAGGAGCGCTTCTTACGTTTGAAGCCATGGCTGAAGCTGCTAGCTTTGCAAACATTTGGGTTCCTTTTTGTCGTAAGCATGAGATTGAGCCGAGGAATCCAGAGTCCTACTTTAGCTTAAAGAGAGATCCTTACAAGAACAAAGTCAAGTTTGATTTTGTCAAGGATAGGAGGAAGGTTAAGCGTGAGTACGATGAGTTTAAAGTCAGGATTAACGGCTTGCCTGATTCCATAAAGAGACGTTCTGATGCTTATCACGCTAAAGAAGAGATCAAAGCTATGAAGATGCAGAAACAGAACAGAGATGATGAGCCTGTTAAGATTCCTAAAGCTACTTGGATGGCTGATGGTACTCATTGGCCTGGTACTTGGTTGACTCCTGATACTGACCACTCCAAAGGTGACCATGCCGGTATCATCCAGGTATTGAACTTGATTTCATGTCGGATTTCAGACTAGTGCAGAGCATTCGGGTTTCTGTTCATGTAGGGTTATTCGGGTTGGGGTATTCTTTTTTTTGGTCAAATCCCGTTGGCATATATATGACCTGGTTAGGAACCAAACATTTTTCGGATTGATTTGGGTAATGTCGAGTTTTGGGTCAGGTTTCTATTTTTTCTTACAAAGCATGAAACAAAACAAAACTATAAATGGTTGGAGTTTGGTATGGGTTTAAAACAAAACAAAAAAATGGAAACCTAAGTAAAACCAAAAAATTAATGAGTAATTCATTTTTAAAAAATTATCGATGCATAAATTGTATTTTTATATATAATTATTTTAAAATTAAATTAAATAATACTTTAACTATTTTTAGGATATTCGGATATCTGTTTGTTTTGTTTTTTTTTTGGGTTCAGAGAAAAAGAAACTGTTTGGGTTTTTGTAATTTTTGTTTCGGTTCGGTTTTTGGTTTCAGATAATATGGGCAGGATTTAATTTCCAGACAATGGACAAGTCACTGTTCAACATCTCAGTGTTTGATTTTTGTTTCCATCTGCTGCAGGTGATGTTGAAGCCACCGAGTGATGAGCCATTACATGGAGTATCCGAAGGGCTTCTTGATCTAACAGATGTGGATATTCGACTTCCCCTCCTCGTTTACGTCTCCCGTGAGAAGCGACCTGGTTATGACCATAACAAGAAGGCCGGAGCCATGAACGCACTAGTAAGAGCCTCAGCAATCATGTCGAACGGAGCATTCATACTCAACCTAGACTGTGACCATTACATATACAACTCTGAGGCAATGAAGGAAGGTATGTGCTTCATGATGGACCGAGGAGGCGACCGTCTTTGCTACGTCCAGTTCCCGCAACGTTTCGAAGGTATTGACCCCTCGGATCGGTATGCTAACCACAACACTGTCTTCTTTGATGTCAACATGAGAGCTCTCGATGGGCTAATGGGTCCGGTTTACGTCGGAACCGGTTGTCTCTTCAGACGAATAGCTCTTTACGGGTTTGGTCCGCGTCGGCCCAAAGAACGTTCCTCTGGTTGGTTTAGTTGTTGTTCCCCTCGTCGTCAACTCCCTGAGGAGTACCGAGTTCTACTTACGGATGATGATTTTGATGATTATGACGTTGAGATAATTGTCTCTTTAGTCCCCGAGAAGTTTGGTAACTCGATGTTCCTTATGAAGTCAATACCAACCGCTGAGTACCAAGGCAGGCCTTTAGCGGATCATCCATCCGTTAAAAACGGGCGCAAACCCGGTGCACTCATCATCACGCGGAAACTTCTTGACGCGCCAACCGTAGCTGAAGCCATAGCTGTTATCTCGTGTTGGTACGAGGATAAAACCGAGTGGGGAACCCGTATAGGTTGGATCTACGGGTCGGTAACGGAAGACGTTGTGACGGGTTATAGAATGCATAACCGAGGGTGGAAGTCAGTTTACTGCGTGACGACGAAACGCGATGCCTTTCGAGGCACTGCTCCTATAAACTTGACGGATAGGCTTCATCAAGTTCTCCGCTGGGCTACTGGCTCAGTGGAGATCTTCTTCTCGCGTAACAACGCTCTTTTCGCTAGCCCGAAAATGAAGATTCTTCAAAGGATCGCTTACTTGAACGTCGGTATCTACCCGTTCACGTCAATCTTCCTTATGGTTTACTGTTTCCTTCCGGCCCTCTCCCTCTTCTCAGGTCAGTTCATCGTCCAGACGCTTAACGTCACGTTCCTTGTCTACCTTCTCATCATCTCCATCACTCTCTGCTTACTCGCGTTACTCGAGATCAAATGGTCGGGGATCTCGCTGGACGAATGGTGGAGGAACGAGCAGTTTTGGCTCATCGGTGGAACAAGCGCTCATCTCGCAGCTGTTCTTCAAGGTTTGCTCAAAGTTGTGGCTGGTGTTGAGATCTCGTTCACGCTTACCACAAAGTCTGGAGGTGATGACGTGGACGATGAGTTTGCGGATTTGTATATGGTGAAATGGACTTGGCTTATGATTCCACCGATAACGATCATGATGGTGAACTTGATTGGTATTGCGGTGGGGTTTAGTAGGACGATATACGCGGTGATACCTCAGTGGAGTAAGTTGTTAGGAGGAGTGTTCTTTAGCTTTTGGGTTTTGGCTCATCTTTATCCTTTTGCTAAAGGGTTGATGGGGAGAAGAGGGAGGACGCCGACGATTGTTTATGTTTGGTCTGGTCTTGTGGCTATTACTATATCTCTTCTTTGGGTTGCTATTAATCCGCCGGCTGGGTACAATATTGGAGGGTCTTAATTTTCAGTTTTCCATGATCGGTTGAGTTCTTGTCAAGAAAGAACTCATGATAAAAACATTGGTCTTTTTTTTTTTATTTATGTTGTATTTACTTATAGATCCCAGAGTTAAGGCATTCCTAGTTATTATACACTTATATGTTTCTCTAGACCTCGTTATCCCTTGATTAAGGGCATCCTTATTGCAAGGACCAATTTCAAAGTCCTTAGCTTTATTAATGTTACTTTTATGTTAAGAGACAATTGTAAGGACCAATGCCAAAAAGAAAGATTATTGCTAGGACATTTTAGAGTATCTTAGTTATTAATTATTATTTTTTTAACAAATGTAATATAAAATCTATTGAAATCATAGAAACTTAAACTTAAACTTAAAATCTATTGAAATCATAAAACATTTAACATTGAAATTAAAAACATAAAAATACAAACTCGGAAGTGAAAAATACAAGAAAAAAAAATTACAAAGTTGATAAATAAAAGGAACATACATTAAATTGAAATTTTATTGAAAACATAGAAACTTAAACTTTATATGTGATTTGGAAGATGTCCAAATTTATTCCATATATTTTCAATCAGATCTTCTTTTAATTGATGATGGATTTGTGGATCTCGAACTTCTCTGCGACGACCCATTGTATTGCCGTGTTTGGTAGTCTTTTTAACGGTAAATGGTAGATCCTCATCTGCTGCATCTTGAAATTCTAGCACGCTATATTGAGAGTGTGAATCTCGTTCATCCTCGACAATCATATTATGGAGTATTAGACATGCTCTCATAATATTAGATATTTTGTTTTTATCCCATAGATTAGAGGGATTTTTAACAACGGCGAACCTAGCTTGCAGGACCCCAAAGGCACGCTCAACATCTTTTCGAACGGCTTCTTGGGTTGTAGCAAATAAAGAATTTTTCGGACCCTGTGGTAGTCGGATAGATTGAATAAAAGTCGCCCAATTTGGATAAATACCATCTGTGAGATAGTAAACCAAATTGTACTCCCTTCCGTTGACACAGAAATTTACTTGCGGAGCAACTCCGTTAATAATGTCATCAAAAACAGGTGATCGATCGAGAATATTGAGATCATTCATAGTACCTGGAGCTCCAAAAAAAGCATGCCATATCCATAGGTCATAGGAAGCAACCGCCTCTAAGACAATTGTTGGTTTTCCGGTTCCTCGTGAATACATTCCTTTCCAAGCTGTGGGACAATTCTTCCATTCCCAATGCATACAGTCGATGCTTCCAACCATCCCGGGGAATCCACGCTGTTCTCCCACATAGAGTAGTCTCTGAAGATCTTCTGGTGTGGGACGTCTTAGGTATTCATCTCCAAATAAGTCGATTATTGCGGCCGTGAAATGGTGTAGACATTGTCGTGCCGTTGTTTCAGCAAGTCGAACATATTCATCAACTGTATCAGCTCCACCACCATAAGCCAATTGACGAATTGCTGCAGTGCATTTTTGGAGGGGAGATAGACCATCCCGTCCGAGTGCATCTTGTGTTGGTTGAAAATACACCACTTCTGTAGAGAGACGGTGCACAATACGCATGAACAAATGCTTGTTCATTCGGAACCGTCGCCGGAATAAATGGTGGGAATATGTCGGAGTATCACTAAAATAATCATTCCAGAGTTTAATGTGGCCGTCTTCCCGGTTTCTGTCGATATAGATTCGTTTCTTGCGCTCTTTTGGCTCTGGAATAGTTGTATATTTTTCAAAAATTTCTTCAAATGGGGCTTCTAAACTATCATCATCATCTTTGCGGTAATGATAATGAGATGAAGAAGCCATTAAAATGGGACAAGAAAAAGCAAATGTTTGTAAGAAATGAGAGTAAAGAGATGGTTTGTATACAAGTAAAGAGAGAAAATCATTCAGATTTATAGAGTTCACAAGTTGTCACGAGTGATATAGTGATTTGGCTGCTTACATTGGCTTGTGACTTTTGTTGTCACGAGTGATATAGTGATTGTAAAAGTTACTGCACTTGTCCTGTGACTTTGTTTGTCACGAGTCAGATACTGGTTCTTGTGACACTATCATTTCAATTATACATAACCATTTGAGTGAGATAGTGTTTCTCGTGACTTTCTTTGTCACGGGTACACCAACCATTAAAAAGCAGTCAATTAAACATAACCATTCATCACTTAAACCATTACAAGTACAACATCCATTACAAGTTGAAAATACTTAAACCATTACAAGTTGATTACTTGAACCATTACAACATCGGAGCTATTACTAAGTTGATTAGTTAAACATGATCACAATACCTATTAAAATTAAACTCAACACCAGTACACCAACAACCACTTCAAAGCCATATGTCTTAGGTGATTTCTTCTTAACTAACTCAGACACCATCTTCTCAAGATTAACCAACTTCTGATCCGTCTCATTGTCAGTTAAATAGGTTAGATAATCTACCTTGTCAGCTAGTTGAAGTATGTGTGAATCCCTGGCTCTGATCTCCTCCATAACTGCTACGTCCCACCACTTCCACACATGGCATTCGCCATCATCAACATTCCCACACGTATAATACCTTCTACCCGGGTTCTGACTTGTGTAAGATGTTGCCAAGAGCGGTTGTCCACCGCAGTAACAAGTCTGGGGGAATCCAAATTCAACCTCAGGTTGAGGAGGATAATTAACCTGCGCAGCATTATTATAACTTATCTCCTCTTGGTCCCGGCGAATCAGGTCTTCCGTCTCGCTGTAGCCGGTATCTGTTGTGTCCCGACCATAGTCCTCTGATTGGGAGGGCTGGCTGTAACTATAATCAAGTCCCATTGTGTAACACTTTACCTGCAAATATTGACAATATGAGACAATCGTTCAAGCAATAAGATAGTCATTGCAAATAATTAAAATAAGGCACAAAAGTTAAAGCAAAAAGATAGTCATTGAAGCAAATAGAGAGTACATTAATAGCCGTAGAAAGCATTACATGAAGCAGACAAAGCAGAGAAAACATTAAACATTACATGAAGCAACCGATAGAACATTAAAACATAGAACATTTAAACATAAAGCATTAAAACATTACAACTCAACTGAAAGACCTAGTCACTTCAGGAGTTCAAGCAGGTTATTCTTCACTACTTCCTCAGTCTCACTTAAAGCTCCTCTGGTTTCAATCAAACTAAACTCATTTCACATTTATCAATATTCACAGTTGGTTGGTTGAGATCTTAACTTAACTTAACTTCAATATCACATTTATCATCACGGGAGTAGGTTGAGAACTTAACTTCAGTATTTTTTTAAATTTTCAGTAGGTTGAGAACTTAACTTAACTTCAATATTCACAGTTGGTTGGTTGAGATCTTAACTTAACTTAACTTCAATATCACATTTTTAAATTTTCAGAATTTAACACACCAATCACAAACTAAACTGAAACTAAACTGAAACCACACGATAATATCAGAGCATTTCTTTCTACTTTTCTCAATTTCGAGCTTCTAACGGTACTCTATACTACTATAATATCTTCTCTTTACTATCAGATTTAAGTAATTTTCTACTAACTAGTAAATATATATGGGTATTATGGCGAAAATGGGACCTAAACCTGAAATGGTAGAAATGGTAACCGGAGAATTATAGACAAGTAAGACAACTAAATCCTCCATACTACAGATAGCATCTTGATCTAACCAAACAATTTAAACCCAAAATACGATAACCCTTACTTTCCTCAACTAAACTATAAAGTAACAGCTTTCAAAATCAGATGATTTCAAAGTTCTAAACTGAAATTGAGTGGTGATGTTTTTCTTACAAACATCACCAACCATTCAATCACAAACAACGACCCAACGAACACAAAAAGATCATTCAAGAATGAGCTAAATCGAGTTATAATGCTATAAGAACACACAAACGTCAAGTACTAGTTAAAATGAACACCGAGTTTCTTGGCAATCAAACACAAACAACGACCAAGCAATCATCAAGTTGAACCATTCCTTACCGCGTAAAATCTTCCTAGTTTAGTACTTCATCAAACACAAACAACGACCAAGCAATCATCACAATATCGGAGGATTGAGCGTTACCTTGTTTAGATCGGATTCGGCTGAGAGGGAGTATACGCTGAGAGAGATCGACGGAGAATGAACACCGAGTTTCTTGGCAATCAATCACAAACAACAACCAATCAATCATCAACAACAACCATTTAATCACAATATCAGAGGATTGAGCGTTACCTTGTTTAGATCGGCTGAGAGGGAGTGTGTCGGAGAGCTACGCGAACAGAGAGGGCGTCAGAGAGAGATACGCGGAGAGAGATCGACGGAGAGAGAGATCGACGGAGAGAGAGATCTAGAGCCGTGGACATGCAGAGGAACCTATCGGCGGAGAGAGAGATCTGGAGCCGTGGACATGCAGAGAGACCTATCGGCGGAGAGAGAGATCAGGGGAGAGAGGAATCAGGGGAGAGAGGGATCGGGGGAGAGAGGGATCAGGGGAGAGAGGGATCGGGGGAGAGAGGGATCAGGGGAGAGAGGGATCGGGGGAGAGAGAGATCGAGGGAGAGAGGGATCGGGGGAGAGTTACGCGGACAGAGAGGCGGTCAGAGAGAGGCGCCGGAGAGAGATCGACGGCGAGAGATCGAGGCGGCGTGGACATGCAGGGAGAGCCATCGAGGGAGACAGAGAGGTGGAGAAAGATAGAAGGGAGAGGATGAGAATGACTTCCACACGGTTTACTCCAACCCGTATCCGTGTTTCTCCTGTGACGATGACGCGTGTCCTTAAGGACATTTGTTAAAAGTTCTCAAGTAACATACGTTTGCTGCTTTTTTATTTAGTTTCCATTTAATTTTTTTACCAAAAACCTTAAGGACCACCACAGATACGTGCGATAATGATGCCCTAAGTTCAACTTTGCTACTCAATCTTTCTTATTTGTAATACAGGTTTGATTCAAATGAGGTGATGCCATAAGAAGAGATTGAGAATATACAAGAGCATATGCAATGGTGAGGTTCACCAATGGATTCTTAAGAATTGTTTAGTAAATTTTTTTTTTTTTTTGGTTTTTGTTTGAATAGTTAAGGATCCGAAGCAAAACTGGTTGTACGTATTCGAAGATAGAATCTTTAGGAAAATTTTATTAAAATTAAAATTTTATTAATTGAAATATTAAAAATAAAGATACAATAATTAAATATAAACATATAAAAGATACACTAATTAATTTTCATCACCAAACTTGTTCCAAATATTTTATTGTTAGACTTGAAGAAGTAGAAAAAGGAACAGAAAAAGTAAAAGTAAAGCCTAGCATTGTTGTGCATCGCTTTTGGCTTGCGTGCCACTTATTCACAGTAAAAAAAAACACGGAGCTGTGTACAGCACTAATAATAAAAACGGCACGAATGTCAATAAAGTCTCCGTTTCATCGGATTGACTCAGTCCCCCCCTGGAGCTTTTACTTACGCCGCTCTCTTTTACTCACTCCCACCTATTGATCGATGCACCGTTCACGTTTACTCGTCCAAATTTTCTCCGACTCGGCAATCTCTAACGCCTCCACTAACTTTGCTCCCATCGTCGCCATGTCTACTCGTCCACTGGTAAATTAAATTTACTTAATCCGATTTAACCTTTCTCTGCTTAATGTAAAATTAATTCGTCCCTGACGTAAGCAGTACAGAGGTGGACGCGGCCGCGCAAGAGCGCGAGGCGGGAGAAGCTTCTCTGATCGTCCGTACAACGACTCCGTGAGAGATCAATTCGTCACTGGAGACTCGCATTTTCAGTCAGTCCACGACGCCAATCTCGAATTCCGTCATGGAAACAGAGGCGCCGATCCTCGTCGTTTCGATCAGAACTACCAATTCCGTCCTCCTCCTCAAGTTCAATGGCGACCTAATCATCCGCCTTCAGGTCAAAACTACTCAGCTTGTCCTCCTCCTCCGTTCGATCAAAACCAGATGTCTCGGCCTCCTCCTCCGCAGCAGCAGCAGCAGCGTAGTAGCTTTCGTCAACGGCCACGGTCGAAACCTTCGGATTACCGTGAATGGGAATATTCCAAAACGGCACCGTCTCCTGGCTCCGGTAATTCTTAGCTTAGTTGTGTCACGTGACTTTTACTTACTATATGCTTCAGTGTTTTTGAATATGTTTTTGTTTTTTTTTTGCACTGCAGAGAAGTTTGTTGTTCTTTCGTATAACATATTGGCGGATTACCTTGCAAATGATCACTGGAGAAATCTTTATTTTCATATACCGAGGAATGTGTTGAGTTGGGGATTTAGGAAGAGCAAGATTGTGTTTGAGCTTGGCTTATGGTCTGCTGATATAATGTGCCTCCAGGTTTTAGTTTTCTTCTTGCATTTGTCTATGTATGAGAAAGCTTTGTCTTTTCATCATATATATATGTACAGTAATCTAATATTACTTTGCATATATCAGGAAGTTGATAAATTTCAGGACTTAGAGGAGGAGTTGAAGCACAGGGGATATAGTGGCATCTGGAAGGTACGTATAAGTTCTTAATTTGTTGGGAAAAATAACTTTTAGGGGCTATCTATCTTTCTCGAGAATTTGAACCATCCGCTTCGATTATTTTTGTGACAGTCCTGACTGAGTTTGACTCTCTTGAAGTAAATATTAAATGGTGTGCCAAGGTTTAAAATGTGAGGATAACTCTGTTTTGTACGAAACTGTAGATGCGGACGGGTAATGCTGTTGACGGGTGTGCAATCTTTTGGCGATCAAATAGGTTTGACTCCCTTGTCCTTCCTCGTGTGGTTCATTATGGAGCTTTGTTTGGGTTTCTCATTGTCGTCGTATTAGGTTCAAGTTGGTTCACGAGGAAACTATCCAGTTCAATCAGCTTGGTCTCCGAGATAATGTTGCCCAGATATGTGTGCTTGAGGTAATATGGATACATTATGTTGATAGTGACTTTCGTACCTTCCCTAAATTAAAAACTTTACTCATGTAGGCGCTGCTGAATTCACACGCCAAAGAAAATGAGGCCTCTCCACCTGAAAGGTATCCTAATAATATCTGTTAATGTAACTATCATATTATTTTATGGAGGGATAATTGCCATTGACTAGGAAGCGTGGCTGATTTTTTCCAGTCTTCAGGGGGTTTTCGTTAAGGAATATATACTTTATGGCTGGTTTGAAATGAACTGCCATTTACTTTTGCAGCTGTTCCCGCCGGGTTGTTGTTTGTAATATTCACGTGCTATATAATCCTAAAAGAGGAGACTTTAAACTTGGTCAGGTGCTTTCCCTACATCTATTGCCAAACGACAATTCGATACTCTGATTTTACTCTGTCTAGAAGCTATGAACATGTTAATTTTCTGGGAGAATTCGTCCTATGTGAAGGGTTACATGTTACCCCTTCCTTAAGTTGGCTTGTTTAATCATTGTCACTCACCATCCATTTATTTAACTCTGCTGCATAGGTGAGAACACTCTTAGAGAGAGCTCATGCTGTTTCCAAACTCTGGGACGATGCGCCTGTTGTTTTATGTGGGGATTTCAACTGTACACCAAAGGTAATTCTTACCTTAATCGGTTGATATACCGAAAACTACTTGCTTTAACATGGACGTAACATTCTTTTACTTGGGTGCAGAGTCAATTGTACAACTTTATTTCAGAGGGCAAGGTAAACGCAATCCTTTCACCTATTGCAACGATATGTACATGGTTCACATTCGATTTTGTGCTGCTCTCTGCAGTTGGATTTGTCTGGTTTGGCCAGAAATAAAATTTCGGGGCAAGAATCTGCTGAAATTCGTCCACCACGGCAAGAAATTTATACGAGGTAGAGCATGAACTCACCAAGCTCTGGTACATCAGTATGCATTTTGTTGGGCAATTTAACATCTATTAGAATCTAGCAGGTTGCAATCTGCTTTTTTTTTTAAAACTTTATGTATGATTAATAAGCCTTTTCAATTTTCTAGGTTTCAGTCCGCAAATATATCGCCACAAGGTCAAGTTGAACCTCAGGATTCGATTGCCAATGCTCGTATGGAAAATAACTCCAGCATGGATGTTGGAAAAGCCCCCTCCATAAGAAACACATCTGAGCTTCCATGTGGTGATACTGTTCTTGCTGGCGACAAAGCCACCTCCAGCTCTGAAAGAGTATTACCAGGCGAGGGTCTGGCCTCAGGTTGTAATCTAGGAAGACAAAACATAAAACCTGATGACGCCGTGGATCTCACGATAGCTGAAGGTCTCTCTTCAGTAACCATATCAGATCTAGAACCTCCACATACTACTAATGCTAAAGACGATTCGAGAGAAAAACTTTCAGCAAGTTCTGCTATATCAGCAACAGAGCATTCTTCTGAAGAAATTGTGTCCAATGCTCAAAATGATTTATCTAGTCTCTCCATCAAGGTTGACACTTCAGCCGAGATGAAACTAGATGACTTAACATTGGACGAAGCAGCTGTATTTGCGCAAGAAGAAGAAGGTATAGGTGAAGATGGGGAAACTCTTTTGGCTAAGCTACACGATAATAATGAAGACATAAGTCAAACAGGGGAACTTGTGAATGACTTTCCACGTGAATCGGGTTCTGAAGCTTTGGATTATGGGAAAATCACTTATAATCCAGCCTCTTGGACCCCAATGGAGATAGCAGCTGCAACAGGTGATCCAGAAAGACGTACGGTTGAACACGCTCTGGAGCTTAAAAGCACTTACTCCGAAATCGAGGTATTGTAGTATATTCTTCCTACACCTTTGTTCTTTCACTTGCATATTCTTGGGAAACCATAGCATTTTCAAGAAGCTGTGGATTATTTCTCTTGTTAGGGTAAAGCAAACACAAGAGATGAAAACGGAGAACCTGCAGTAACCAGTTATCACAGATGTTTCATGGGGACAGTTGACTACATCTGGTAATAAATAGTATCCGAACCCAAAATGAAAACCAATGTTGACAGGCGTTAGAGATTATATTACACTATCATGAACTTTGGGGTTTAATGGATTTTTCATGTTCATTGCTGGTTTTGGTTAGGCGGTCGGAAGGACTCCAAACGGTGCGTGTGCTTGCTCCAATAACGAAACAAGCAATGCAGTGGACACCAGGCTTCCCAACTCCAGTACAATCCCTATGCATGATCTTGAAAAGTTTACTATTTACCCTCACTTATTAGCTGCATATAAACTTCTTTTTTTGCATTCTCTGATTTGTTACAGAAATGGGGGAGCGATCACATTGCATTGGTTTCAGAGTTGGCCTTTTGCAGCAGCAAGAGTGAGCCTAAAAGCTGAATAGTTAACATGTTGTTACCTTAATCTAAGGAAGTGTTCCGAAGAAGAAGAATAGACTTTTCCGTCTCAACATTTAAATTAAAATAAGCTCAATAATCATCTCGTTTCATTTTGATCAAGTACTGTAAGGTGATTTGTTGTCTGAATAGTAAAATTAAGCTCAACAAACCATTGTCTGGAAATTACGAGTTGTAGAACATGAAAATTTGTCTTTCACAAGGGTTGTAGTTCGGAAAGGCCCAGTAAAACTAGTGGGCTTACATCTTTCAGGCCTCAACGCAGCTCAAATGTTTCTTCGTCTTCTTCCCCTTCTCAGCATTGTGCGTGCGGATTGGCATGATGATTGTGTACAATCCCTTCGTTTGATTTCTTTTTCTCAAATTTTCTTCAGAATTTGGCGTCCTAATTTGATTCACAAAGCTTTCTTCTCTTCATGGGTTCGGCTTCGATTGGTTATCAATCCGGAATATCAGCTCGATTTGACAGGAATCTTAATCTGAGGTCAGATATTACCGTCTCTTCGCTTCCATGTAAAGTTGATTTTTCCAGAAAGAGCTTCTTGTCAGCTGCAACATCCACTCACAACAAGGTTAAGAGACCTATCTGATCATTTTCTCTTCATCTCGTTTATGCCACCTAAAAAACACAAAGTGCCAAGCTTTTAATCTGGGTCTCATAAAAGTTTGTACTTTGCTTCAGATCCTCGTTGTTGAAATCTCAAAATGTAGTTTTTAATATCCAGGAAATTTCAAATCGAGGTCGGGTATGTTCTTTGCCAAATACCGATGAAAAACTTGAGACGCCAATACTAGACAGCATTGAGACTCCATTTCAGTTGAAGAATTTGACTGTAAAGGTAAAATCTTGATGCTCTTATGCCATATGTAGCTGAATCAAAACTCAAAATAAGGATTGAGGTTCATGATGACGGCTTCCTTCTCGTAGGAGTTGAAGCAATTAGCTGATGAAATCCGTAGTGAGCTTCTTTCTGTAGTGTGGAAGGCTCGAAAATCTGTGAAGCCTAGCTTGGCTGCCATAGAGCTTACCCTTGCTCTGCATTATGTATTCCGTGCTCCTGTGGACAAGATATTGTGGGATGCTGTGGAACAAGTAAGTCTGTGTTCTGAGATTCAGGGGGATTGAGGAAGTGATTTTCTTGTGGTGGTAATAGCTTGTTTTCTTGTCCTTTGTAGACATATGCACATAAAGTCTTGACAGGACGTTGGTCTTCTATACCATCCAGACAAAAGAATGGTGTTTCTGGGGACACTTCAAGATTAGAGAGTGAATATGATTCTTTTGGGACCGGCCATGGCTGCAACAGTATTTCTGCTGGGCTCGGTAAATCTTTCTGTTACCCTTTTGTTAGTTTATTACCTTCTTTCGTAAAACAAGAATTAGCTTTAGCTAATGGATGCTAGTTATCGATTTGGTGTGGTGAACGTTTAGTTTCTGCTTCTTAGGCTTAGCAGTTGCTCGTGATATAAAAGGGAAAAGAGACCGGGTTGTTGCTGTGATAGACAGTGTGACAGTGACTGCTGGTCAAGCATATGAGGCAATGAGCAGTGCAGGTTACTTGGATTCTAATATGATTGTTATACTAAATGATAACCGTCACTCTCTGCATCCAAATATGGCGGATGGATCCAAGACATCCATCAGTCCACTATCTAGCTTCATGAGCAAAATCCAGTCTAGCCAAATTTTTCGAAAATTCAGAGAACTAGCCAAAGTATGCTTTCTCCATACTCTCTTTATGAATCCTTAGCTTCTTTACAATGGCTGGAGATTAGTGTTTCAACAATTAGTATTAAGTGATTATTTGTTTTTGCTATGGATAATGGCAGGCTATGACAAAGAAAATCGGAAAGGGGATGTATGAATGGGCAGCCAAAGTGGATGAGTATGCACGTGGTATGGTGGGACCAACAGGATCAACTCTCTTCGAGGAACTTGGTTTGTACTACATTGGTCCTGTTGATGGACACAACATTGAAGATTTAGTTTGTGTCCTCCGAGAAGTAGCTTCTCTAGATTCAATGGGTCCTGTGTTGGTCCATGTGATCACTGATGAAAAGCGAGATGAAGAAACCACAAACATCGTTGTCAAAGGTATATCTCGCTGCTTGACAATAAATGCTTATCCAAATCTTAACTCGGTTTACTTTCGTGTCTCAGATAGACGCACTTACAGTGATTGCTTTGTTGAGGCTTTGGTGATGGAAGCCGAAAAGGATAGAGATATTGTTGTAGTCCATGCAGGAATAGAGATGGATCCATCACTTGTTACGTTTCAGGAGAGATTTCCAGACAGGTTTTTCAATGTCGGGATGGCTGAACAGCACGCTGTCACATTCTCTGCTGGTCTTTCTTCTGGAGGTCTCAAACCCTTTTGCATTATTCCTTCTGCTTTTCTACAAAGAGCTTATGACCAGGTTTCACTTCTCTCTCACATTCTAAAAGTTTTTTTTTTTTTAATTAAAGCAAAGTGTCTTAGTGTGTGTTTGATCGTTTGATTTAGGTGGTCCATGATGTAGATAGGCAGAGAAAGGCGGTGAGATTTGTTATAACAAGCGCAGGGCTTGTTGGATCCGATGGTCCTGTGCAGTGTGGAGCTTTTGATATTGCTTTCATGTCATGCTTACCAAACATGATAGCCATGGCTCCAGCCAATGAGGATGAGCTTGTAAATATGGTCGCAACTGCAGCTAACATCACTGACCGCCCGGTTTGTTTCCGGTTCCCTAGAGGCGTCATCGTCAACAAGAACTATCTCGTCCCTATTGGATTACCAATTGAAGTAAGTTCCAATCTAATCTTCAAATCTTCTTTAAGGCCATGCTGACACAAGAACCTGTTTTATTATATTAGAGTAGATTGGAAGAGGAAGAGTTTTATTAGAAGGTCAAGAGGTAGCTTTGCTTGGGTATGGAGCCATGGTTCAGAACTGTCTTAATGCTCACTCGCTTCTCTCAAAACTCGGCTTGAACGTGACTGTAGCTGATGCAAGATTCTGCAAACCCCTCGACATAAAGCTTGTGCGTGATCTTTGTCAGAGCCATAAGTTCCTTATCACGGTTGAAGAAGGCTGTGTTGGAGGGTTTGGGTCTCATGTGGCTCAGTTCATAGCCCTTGATGGTCAACTCGATGGGCAAATCAAGGTACACACAACAAACACAAAATCACATCTATTCAAACTTCTCATCTTTTTATAAGTTTGGAACCAATGGCAGTGGAGACCGATTGTGTTACCGGATGGGTACATAGAAGAAGCGTCGCCTAACGAGCAGCTTGCACTTGCGGGGCTAACGGGACATCACATAGCAGCGACAGCTCTGAGTCTTTTGGGTCGAACTCGTGAAGCATTGCTCCTCATGAGCTAACCCTTTGCCAGAAGATCAGAGACTTAATGGAGACATCACACATTATTTGATTATCTTTCTAACTCTTGAGAAGTGAATAATGAGTGTAATTATTAAGTTTCAAAAATAAAATAAAAACTGTAAATATGGAACCTTTTGGAAGAGCTTAAAGAATCTGCTTTGTATTATGCTTTAAGTTAACTGTGTAGAGGTGAAAGTTTAGGGAAGAAAGAAATTTAATTCTGCAATTAAACATAAAATAGCTTAATCTTGTTTTATATGGGAAAAATAGATTCGCATTTAAAATGAAATAAGCATAAATTCAAAGCGGTTTCATAAATGTATTTGTGTTTTGTTGTCACTTGTGAAATATAGACAGGTAGGTACTATGAGATGTTTACATGTCCCAAATCTGGGTGACAACAAAAATAGAACAGACGTGTATTTTCATTCATTTTTCATTACTGCGAAGAGAGATTAATAAAAGAGAAAGCTTTTCAAAATAATTTACTCAAAACAACAAATAAAAGGAGATTCCTTTCCGTTCTTCTTTTCTCTCTCTCTGGATTCATTTCCTCGCAAAGGAAGTTTCTTTTGATCTGAATCGTATCGTGTCGCTTCGTTTCTAACTGTAAGTTTTCTCCTTTACGTTGTTGTGTCCCTTCTTAAAACTCGATCGGAATATTAAAGAAGAAAACTTTACATTGATTTCTCGCTTAGGAATCGAACCCAGGATCTTTATATCTAATAAGAACCCTAATTATTCAATCTCTTGACGAAAGATTGATACTTTTTTTCTCTCTGTTGCAAGCAGATGGAAATAGAAACGGAACATAATAAAACAGTCTCTGTCGATGACAACGACAGCCTCGTACCAGAGCCAAGCTCAACAAAAGAAGAAAGCCTTTTAGAAGATATCTCCCTTCCTGGTCAAGTTACCAATCATCATCCAGAACTATCGAGTGCAAGCCAAGTTCTGATCAAAGTTGAATTGGATTTTGCTTTTGTCTCTGAGAAGTTAGTGAATCTCAGTCTTCTCACTATGCAACTCGGCTCTAGAGAACATGACTTTGAGTCTTTTGTTTCTCATCAAGAAGATGAAGAAGAAGAAGGAGAAGATGATGATGATTTGGCTGTGAAGGCGTTGGAGTTTGATCTTTTGTCTTCGTTTCTAAACTCAGAGGTGAAAGAAGTTGAGTCACGAGTTAATTCTCTTCAGAACGAAGTTCAGAATGCACGTGTCGTGATATCTCCGTTTCAAGATGATGGAGAAGGTTTCTCTGATTTGGAGGAGAAGTTGCATGATGCTGAACAGTCTTTGGGGCAGTTAATAGACCAAGTTGTGGAGATGAAGAAGCAATCTTCTAGCTTTCATAAGTTATCTTCTGGTTTGGATGATTCTTTAAGTAAGTAACCAAGAACCTAACGTATGTTCTTATGATTCTCTTTTTTCATATGTTTTAGAATCTTTTTTGTTTTGTTAGGGTCTGGAGAGGGTGTTGCAGAGTCTCAGAACGAGGGTGAGTTTGGTGATTTGAGCGCGAAGATTAAGATGCAGACTGCTGATCAGCAAAGGAACGTTTTGAGGATGCTTGAGAAGTCTTTGGCTAAGGAGATGGAACTTGAGAAGAAACTAAGCGAGTCAAGAAACGCTGAATACCAACTAGAGATCAAACTCTATTCTTCTGAGCAGGATGTTCTCTACATGGAAGAAGTGATCGAAGATGCGTATTCGAGGTGGCTTGAGGCAGATAATGCTTCTGAAGTTTTTAAAGGAATGTTAAAGGAGATGTCTGGAAAGCTGCAGATTCTTAAGTTCAATTTAAGCGGCTCTTTTAAGAGGGAACATAATTTGAAGTCTGAGCTTGTTGATTCAAACGAACGTTTAGAAGCTAAAGAATCTGCCTTGCACAAGCTTGATAGCAGCAATGGAAGGGTTAGCGACTTTCTTATGGCGCAAGCAGAAGGCTTGAAAGAGAGTTTGAAAGAAGCTGAGGAGAAACTGATTCTGTTGAACACTGAGAACTCCACGTTAAGTGAAAAAGTTAGCTCTCTTGAGGAACAACTCAATGAGAACGATGACCTGAAAGATAAGTTAGCCGAAACTGAAGCAAGGGCTGAGGAAGCAGAAACCAAATGCCAAAAGCTAGAAGAAAGCCAAAAGGAGTTTCAAGACGAGTTGGATAGTTTCAGAGCAAAAGGCTACACTCCAGAGAAGTTAGAATCGCTTGAGAAACGCTTGAGGGACTCGGATCATCAGCTGGAACTTGCGGTTGCAGCCGCTGAAGCAAGTAAAGAGAAGCAGAGTTTGTTATACTCTACTGTCTCTGACATGGAGGATGTGATTGAGGATCTGAAATCGAAAGTTTCCAAGGCTGAACACAGGGCTGACTATACAGAAGAGAAGTTGATCACTGTGTCTGAGTCTAACGCAGATCTCAACGAAGAACTGAAGTTCTGTAGAGGTAGATTGAAAGAAGCGGAGAGGTATTTAGAGAAAGCAGAGGAGAGGAAGTTGCAAACAGCTAAAGATATCGCACAGCATAACAAGATCATGAAGAAACTAGTCATGCAACTAGCTTCTGAACGAGAACGGCTTCATAAACAGGTACTGAGACATTACCTTAGTAGCTTCATCATCATCATCATAGTAGATGGTTAGATATAGTTGACTTTTTCTTTTGCAGATAACTAACTTGTCAAGAGAGAACCGTGTGTTGGTCATGAAGTTGAAGAAGGTTGGAAAGACAGTTCATATGGAGAGTGAAAACGGAAGTGAAGTTTCACCAAAGTCTGAACAGAGTTCTCTTCCTTGTTATCAAGAAAGTAAACTTCAAGCCACTGTTACTTCACTAACTAATGAAGAGGTGAATCAATTCTTCACCTACTAAAAATCTGTATCTAAGTGAATTCTAGGAATCTAATGTTAACTCTCTAGACCTTATAAAAAAAAAGTGATGTTTGTTACTGTTTTGTAGGAGGAAGAAACAGAGTCAGAGTCAAGTTCAGATATTGGAAGTGTAAGGAGATTAGATGCTGGAGCTCTTGGGTTCAAGCACATTCTGGTTGCAATCTTGGTCATCTTCATGTCTTCAATGGCTTATCTAATATCCCAGCAAAACATCTAAGAGTCTTTAAGCCTTTTCAGAGTCTCTCATAAGCTCTAGTTTTGTTTTTTTTTTCTCAATCTATTTTGCAATAATTCACAATGTCAGAATATATTTCTTAGTTTTTTGTGGCTAATCTTCAATGAAAGATTACTAACTTTTTCAGAATCTCATAGGCTTCAGTTTTGTTTTCCTTACTCTTTGTCAAAGTTTAATTTGACAGATTATATTTTTGTTTGTTTGTGTGCCTGATCTCAGTTACAGAAAATCTGCTAAAGAGTTACAAAACATGCTTCTTTGTTTTTAATTATCTTCAATAACATATTAATACATCCTACTATATATAATTGAATCACTTAATTGATTTAATACATCCTACTATATTTTATATATTAAAACAGAAATCATGACTTGAATTCATGTGTGATATTTTAAATTTTGGACTACTACTAGAATTTGTCATATTACATTAATTCTCTAATAATCTTATAATCTTATATATTAAAACAGAAGTCATGATTTGACTTCATGTGTGATTTTTTAAAAAATGGACTATTATTAGAAAGTCATGGTACATTAACTCTCTAATAATCTTATCATTATTATATCTTATGAAAATTTTATATCTATAATAATAAAGATACGTTTAACAATTTGGTTTGGGTAAATTATCTCACACCTTCTAAATTTTGACCCGCGCAACCGCGCGGGTGTTTGTTTTCGTTTATAGTTATATAAACATTTTGTTTTCACTTGTAAATTGGTATATATTATAGTAATCACATATTTACGATATGTATAGTAAATGTTTTTCAAACATAATAATATTATATAATACGTGTTTTAATCAAATAGATTGTTTCAAATTTTCTATATTATACAACATGACTTTCAAACATGTGTTTGTTTCTTCTTCTATATTCTATTGTTTGTTAGATTAGTATTTCATTTTTAGATAAAGTAATATAAATAGAGCTTGATTAAATATTAGTGTAATTTAATTTGCAAAGATAATATAAACTTTGAAGAATTTTTTGCTAAAAACTAAACTTATAGCTTCATAAATTAATATTATAAAAAGTTTATTAAAAATGAACTTTTTAAACAATTTCTTTTTTTTTTAAAACAATACAATTTTAAAATTTTACATCGAAATAAATTATCTAATATATATAACGTGTAAATTTTGTTAAGGTATATAAATATTACATATTAATAATCTGTGATTTTTGTTAATAAATTCTGGATGCATTTAACTATTATTGACATATTTCCTTATAAATAATAGAAGATTCCTAAATTTATATCTATTGACATATTTTGCGTGACTAAGTTGGAAGGTGTGGGGTAATTTACCAAAACAAAATTGTTAAGCATATTATAAGATATAATAATGATAATATTATTAAAGAGTTAATGTAACATAACTTTCTAGTAACATACCATTTTTTAAAAAATCACACATGAAATCAAGTCATGACTTCTGTTTTAATATATAAGACTAGTGGAAATTTTGAATTTAATTAGTACCTGAACTTAGAATATAAAGCTTTTAAATATTTATGACCGCTTACGTATTAGTACTATGTTGAGGTGGATTGGTTCGTGAAATGACGTCGTTTTGAGTCAAAAAAAAAGAGAGAGAAAAACTACATTTAACAAGCATTAAATCTGGGTCCAACAATATATCAATATAATCATGAACTATTTATGTTAGTTGAGAACTGTTGTTCATTTTTTTTTTTTGCCGTCAAGAAAGTTTTTATAAAGATAAAGGGTCAAGCCCACACAGTACAATAACAAATAGGTAACCCAAACAAATGGGCCAGCTAAAAAACAAACTTACTGGGCCTAAAGCCCATAACTCGGAAACCCTAGCAGACATGCCGAAAAACAGCAGCGCCGCCACCAGAGACACCACACGAGTCTTCACCGCCGGGAACCTTCCAACGGAGAGCATCCATCGAAAACGTCGAGATCTCATCTTATTCCCATGAACTCCACACCAACTTCACCGCAACCGCCTTTCACTCTTGTGTTATCAATATCGGACCGATCAATCGCCGGAGCGAGATCTCATCCGTCACCGTTCGAACACACACCAGAGAAAAAAAACGTTGCACAGAAAAACACCCTCTTACATCGGACACAGCTCTCTTTAATCTACGAGATCTCATCCACAGATCCCGACCAACACCGCAAGAACGTCATTAAAACCATAACCTAATACAGATCTAAGAATAAAAAGTGGACGACACAAGGCAAGAAACACCTTCACCCTTTGAAACCAAAGCCGGCGATAATGGAACTATAGAAGCCTCCACCTCCCGGAATCTAAACCGACCGTTCACCTTTAACGAAACAGGTACTACGGCGGACACCAGAGCCGACCGACCACCAGAGGAGAGTGCGCCGACGGAGACATAAACCGACCAGCGGCAACAAAAACATAACTAGATCTAAAATAACAAACGGGAGAATCAAAGCTTAACCAAAAGGATCTAAACATACAAGACCGCAAAGGAGAGAAATAAACAAAATCCGACCGACGTCGTGACTGAGGAAGCTCACCGACGTCGGTCAGATAACAAACTTGAACGGGAGTTTAGAGAGAAGGTGGAGCTATTTTTAGAGAGAAGTTTTGAGTTAGTAAGAATTTTGAAGTGTTGTTCATTTACAAAAGCAAAATAATATAAGTAAATTTTTAATACTAATTTCTAATAAGTAGTACATCTGGTGCCAGAGGAATAATGTTGGCTAGCTTAAATGTGTAGAATTTATTAATCCTTAAACAAAATTTAATGGCTTCCTAGTTTTGATTTCTTTTTGCCTGGGAAGCACTCCCTCTAAGAATGTTAGTTGTAACTTCCTCTCTTCATTTATATGATATTAACATCTTTAGCAAAAAAAAAAAAAGTTATATAATATATAGTTAAGCAAAAAAAAAGTTATATAATATACAGGTTAAAACATACCAATATACATTTTAAGGATTCAACACTTTTGCTAACTTATTAAGCAAGACAAAGAAAAACAAGCAACCATAGTAATAATGCTGAGACTTGGGTAAACTATAACAGCAACGCGTTTACTACATTTTAATACGGTCTTTGACCTATTGCCTTGTTAGTGAGAAATTGACCAATCCTTTTAACTTAAAACTTAAAATCTAAGAATGCTTCTACGGCCTCAGAAAGAAAAAAAAAACAATATTTTCAAATAGCATTTACTTTCAGTTTTGTATAAATTATTTTACAAAATCGTAAATGCAAGCGTAATTGCCAAGTTTTAAACCAGGTCAGACTCTTAATGGGACACGCACGCTATATCAATATGCATATTATTCATGTTTTAGGTATGTATCTTTGTGTTGTGTATGCTTTTTTCAGTTGCAGTGAAATTTATATAATTATTTTGAATTCACTTAGAATTGAGTTCTTTTAAGAGAGTTTACAACTTTAAAACCAAACTTACATTATATAGATACTAGTTAATCTCTGTAATAGAGTTCAGAACATCTAAAACTTGTTGCATGGACGGTCGTGTACCCTTGTCCCCGGTGCATCTTTCAATGAGTGTACTCATCTCCATAGCCGCAGTCACAGGATAATCGCTCCCAAGTCGTGGGTCAAGTTTTTCCGTAAACAATAAAGGTCTAGTTTTCCTAACTTCTAATAACCTTTTAGTCTTCAAACCAGTAAAAAGCTCAAGCAAGATCACACCAAATGCAAAAACATCTGTATCCATTTGAAACGAACCTACATACATTATACATAACTGTGTTTAAGATTTTGAACAACGAAAAAAAAATTGATCAGAATCATTACATATAACATTTAATTATTGTTTTGTTGTACCTGACATCAGACATTCAAGAGGCATGTATGCAAGTCCTTTATCAAGCCTCCTTGGTCTTTCCAGATAATTTTTTTTTGTTTCAAGGTAAAACAGTTTTGCGTTGTATTCCTTATGATGAGATCCAAACTTAGGTATTAGTAGTTTCTAAGATCATAAACATAATAATGTCATAAATAAATAAATAAATCATTACCTCGTCAAGCATAATGTTGTGTAATCTGAGTTCAAAGTATAGCGAAGAGTTATTGATTGAGTGGAGAAATGCGAGACCTTGAGCTGTTCCAATGGCTATCTTAACCCGTGTTGCCCATGACAACATCTCTTTCTCTGTTGAGGGTAACATCAAACATGAAACTGTATTTACAGAAAAAATTATATATATATATATATATGCCATGCATTGATTAGAAGAGATCTTAACTTCCATGAATGTGATGATCCAAAGTTCCTTTGTGCAAGTATTCAAACACCAATAGTGATTTTCTATCTTCGCAACAATAGCCCAAAAACTTGACCAAGTTTGGATGAGAATGTTTTCCTAGAGACTCCACCTGTCCCTGCAAACTCATGTACTTTAGTAAGTACACAACAAGTGTAAGTAGTGGTCATACTTGGCTTACCTTCCATGCTTCTATAGCCTCTAAACTATCTTGAAGACATTCCATGACAGAGATTCTTGCTTTAGTTCTTGATGAGGTGTCTTCGATGGAGCCCTTGTAGAATGTTCGAATAGAGCCATCCTCTTCGTTTACGACCCTGCCTTTTCTGAAGTTATTCGTTGCTTTCTTCAGTTCCGTGACGCTGAAGACTCTCAGATCCTCGTTGTCTTTATCCAATTTGATACATATTGAATGAAACATTTTTATAATATTACTACTACTATTATTATATATATAAATAAAAAATGCTTTTAAAAACAGAGATATGTAGACCAACTTGGTGAGCTGAGGAGAGGCTCGTAAGTAAATGAAAGAGGATCTTCTGTGTGAGGCTTTAGAACGTTTCCCATTGTTTTTTTGTTTTTTTTGAACATAACGTTTCCCATTGTTGATGGAGCTGATTTAATTTGTAGATTTTTTTTTTTAAGTTTCAAGATTTCAACACATCTTATGTGTGTTCTTATAAAGAGGTTGAAAATGATTAGTCAATCAATTAGTTGGTAATTTTCTCACTTAGGCAAAAAGAAAGGAGAAAGAAACCACAATCTTAACTAGGATTTATCTCCATGTAAGGCGGCAAGGCAAATATGGAGAAACAAAAGATATATGAGACTTATGTAAATCTTCTAATCTATTAAAACATAATCTTATTTTTATATAATGTTAACAAGTCATACTAGGACAATCTAAAGAATTAGTTAATATGACATATTTGATTATTTACATTAATAATAAATCAACTACAAATCTAATCTAATTAAACATAGTCATATTTTAATCTAATGTTAACAACTCATACTAGGACCATCTAAAAAATCTTATTGTATAAAGTTTGGTTTTCAAAGTTACTAATTAATTTGATCACGACACATGGCGATTATATATTTAAGATAACGACATGTGTTAAATTATAATTTTTCTTTTAAAAACTTAAACCAAAAGAATTTAATAGTTAGTTTCCCTTTTTTAAACAATCTTAAACAAAAATTGTAAAAATTATATTTTCATATAAATAATATTTTCTTTTAGAAGTTACTAATTAAGATGATTATAAAACATGAAAATTATATATCTAGGATTATGACATGTGTACAATATGTTTTACTTTTTATTTTTAAAAAACTTAAACCAAAAGAATAAAACAATCTAAAAAGTTAACTTTCCTTTTTTAAATTTTTTATACAAAAAACGTTTTTTAACATTTCCATATAAATAAAAATTTAACAATGGTATTTCTTTTTTAAAACATGGGATTAAGATAATTACAATCTTGGTTATTTAAAGTTGCTAATTAATATAACTGCGATACATGATAATTATATATTTAAGATTATGATATGTGTTAAATAACAGTGTCTTTTTAAAAAAAAAAAACTTAAACCAAGAAAATATAAAATAATATAAAAATATGATTTTCTTTTTTTAAAAATTCTTAAACAAAGAACGTTTTTAATATTTTCATATAAATAAAATTTTAACAACAACATTTCTTTTTTAAAACATGGTCTAAGATAATTAACACTAAACATTATTTTAAGAAAAAATTCTATACAAATTAAAAAATATTCACAAAATATATTTCTTATAAATATTTATTAGTATTTGTCCTGTTAAAAATATTAAACCAAAGAGAATTGTAATATTTTAGCTGAATACAGCAAAACCTGAATACATATAAAGAAGGTAGAAGTGTTGAATAAAGAAACTTCATTTTTTTATTTTCATATAAAAAAATTTTTAACAATAGTATTTCTTTTTAAAAATATGGTTTTAAGGTAATTACAAATTTAGTTTTTTAAAGTTGTTAATAAACATAATCCTGACACATTACAATTATATATTTAAGCTCATGACATATATTAAATAACAGTTTTCATTTGGAAAAAAAAAACATAAGCCAAAATAATATAAAAATAATCTAAAAAGTTAATTTCTTTTTTTTTAAACCAAATAGAATTTTTATTATATTTCTTTTTAAATCCTCACAAAAGATAATTATGGAGAAATATTTCTTTTTATTATATGTAAGGCAAGGCAAATATGGAGAAACAAAAGATAAGAATAATGTAAATCTTCTAATCTATTAAAACAGAATCCTATTTTTATATAATGTTAACAAGTCATAGTAGGACCATCTAAAGAATTACTTAATATGACATATTTGATTATATACATTAATACTAAATCAACTACAAATCTAATCTATTAAAACATAGTCATATTCTTATCTAATGTTAACAAGTCATACAAAGACCATCTAAAGAATTAGTTAATATGACATATTTGATTATTTACATTAATGATAAGCCAACTACAAATTTAAAGTTTATATTTTAATTATAACAAAATCTGTTGAGAAATAATCCAAAAAAAATCCTACTAATCTTTTAAATATTTTTAAAAAATCTCGCATTAATTTCGTAATTATAATATAATATTATTATAAATTATTTTTATTAAATATTTCTTATAAAAATATCATTTTTATATAAATTTTGTAATTATATTCTGTATTATATTAAAACAGAAGTGCTATATGAATTAAATATGACAAAATTATATTAAATGGTAAATTGACCTTTTTAAATAGTTTCCTTTCTATAAATACCACTCATCTTGAAATGTGTTAAATTTGTAAATTATATAATATTTTTATACAAAAATAAATTTAGCAACATATATTAAATATTTATATCTACAACTACATATCATTTTTTATTTATTTTAAAACTCTCAAGAATATATTACAAAAATACATTAATTTCTAAACTTTTAATTTATAATTCTATTTTTATATATTTATAACAAGTCATAATTGGACCACCTAAAGATTTAGTTAATATGACATATTTTGAGCTAATTAACTCTTTGATTTTGTTACATCAATAGTAAGCCAATTATAAATTTGAATTTGATATTTAATTGTAACAAATTCTGTTGACATGGAATCTAACAAAATCATACTAACTCTTTAAATATTTTTTATAAAATTAATACAGCACAAAGTTCATAATTTGCAATATAATATTATAAATCAATGTTAACTAAATATAAAATAATTTGCAAACATTATTTTTATGCATATATTAGTTTATTTAATAATCAAATGTAAATCAAAGAAGATAAATATATAATAAGGAACTATTGAAACAATTGTTGTTAAATTGTGATTTTTTAAATTATTGTGTTTGTAATATTTTATAAACATTTAAATATATGATTAACGTCACTAATAACATAAAAAATATTTATGTATATAAAAATAAAATCCGCGCGTTTGCACGGATCAAAATCTAGTAATAATTTAAACGTGTTTTATTCATTTTCTTAGATAGTTATTGACTTGTGTGGCCTACTAGATTGAGAATGTGATGTTGATTTGATTTATTGGAGGTAAGAATTACAAACGAAAAAACGTTAAAACACCTAACTTCTGCCTGCAACTCTTTAGTTTTTGTGCTCACCATATACATAAGTACAAATATAATAAAAATATATATAGTTGCATGACAATAGACATATCGTGGTTATTAACTTCCACGCTTCTAGAGTTCCATGGAGAAGATGTGATCTCATCGATGTAGCCTTTGTAAAATGTTGAAACAGAGCTATTACTATCAGATATTGCAAGATGAAACATTAGTCTATGCTTTTAAAATTTTAATATGTATAATTAATTGGTCTCAAACTAATTAAGAAAAAGATTATGTAATGAACATTTAGCTCTGGTTTATAATTGTTTCAAGCCACTTAAATCTTTCATGATTACAACCGTGTCTTTTGTCTTTATCGTCGCTTTCTGCGGTTCCGCCAGGTTCTCGTTTAAGTCAACTTCGGTAAGTTAGTGTTGACTTATTTTGCTTAGTTTGATGAGAAAAAAAAAAGAGGCCGATTTGATCTTATTTGGAAAAAATCTACGGGCCCACGTTGAAGTCCAAGCCTTTTCGCTTTCCTGAATGGACTTTGCAGTTTAGGAGATCAATGTAGAGAAATATTTCCAGAAAAGGAAAGGCATGAAATGATGATAGCTAGTGAAGACCTTCCCATGTGAGTTACATACGCACGAGAGGTGTTTTTGGATTTTCATGGGAAGGCCGCGTGGGCCGTTTAAGCCGCCGTTAAATATGGATGGAAGACAAGATTTTCATCGGTCACTGCCTGAGAAGTTTGACGTCACATGTGTGGACGTTAACCGCCACGGGAAAGAAGCAGAAGACTCGGTCCACACTCACATGCCTGATGCCTCTACTCTTAACATTCGTATCGCTTAATGCTATGCATGCACTTAAAGAGAACAAACTTGTTTTGTTTAAGAATGATAATCTGAACAACAGACAAAACCCTCTTTGCTTCCGTATTATCGACTAAATCCCAAAAAGAGTGAGTCACGGCCCCATGTGGAGTTGCAAACCACATCAGTGGCATAAATCGTAATTTATAGTAAAACCAAGTGGTATTTTCCAAGTTAAAAATCTATATAAGCAATTGTAGCTCCTCTCATAATCTCCATAATTTTATTAAAATCCCTTTTTCTTTCCTCTAGTCTTTTACTTTGGTCGTTCACGATGAAAGGAGGCAGCCTCTCGTTTCTCTTTGTTCTTCTCATCTCCACCATGACATCCGTCTTCTGCTTCCGAGACGGTAATCACATGTACTCTTTCATGTGTTATGATTGCAATTTTTATATTAGTGACTCGTTCTTTAAAAAATTAATTGTGTTTGTGTTAACGAAAAAGTTTAATTCTGTCAACTTTCTATCCAAAGTATTTGGAACATTTTAACAAAAACCACACAACATGTTTGGTCGGCTAGTCTGTTATGTAGCACTAAGTTTATCTTATTAAAACCGATCTGATCAGCCGATAATATATATTAAAACCGACCTGATCAGCGGATAATGTATATTAAAAAAACAGTCTGCTCGTAGAACTAATTAGTTTTGTAAGTCGGTTTAATGTCATTTACCTTTTTGCCAATTTCTGGCACTTGTACTCTTGTAATTTCTACATAAAATGGGTCCAATTACATTATTTGACCAAAATCAAGATAAACCAAAAAACGTATTAAATTCACTGAGACTGTGGGTAATTTCGTCATTTAACAGGAATGTTACCAAACGGCGGTTTCGAGCGAGGTCCAAAACCATCGGACATGAAAGGAACACGAGTAATAAACAAGAACGCTATTCCAAACTGGGAGCTCTCTGGCTTCATCGAATACATCAAGTCGGGTCAAAAACAAGGAGACATGCTCCTCGTGGTCCCTGCCGGAAAATTCGCAGTCCGGCTAGGCAACGAGGCATCTATCAAACAAAGACTTAACGTGACAAAAGGAATGTACTACTCTCTCACGTTCAGTGCCGCAAGGACTTGTGCTCAAGACGAACGGCTCAACATATCCGTGGCACCTGACTCTGGCGTTATTCCTATTCAGACGCTGTACAGTAGCAACGGGTGGGACCTATACGCGTGGGCGTTTCGGGCCGTGAGTGACGTGGCAGAGATCGTGATTCATAATCCTGGTGAAGAGGAACATCCTGCTTGTGGACCACTTATTGATGGTGTTGCTATCAAGGCTCTATACCCTCCGAGACCTACCAATAGTAAGTTTGTGTTTTTTTTTTACTAATAACTATTTTATTTATATAAAATGTAACATTACAAATAAGATAATAAAAGTACAAACAACTGCACATTTAAAAAAAAAAATACAATACAACATATAAATAAACTTTGAAGAAGTTTTTGTTTTAACTATCTTCTTCGATAAAATAATTTTTAAATAATAGTAAGTTTGTGTGTTATCTATTACTATATGGACGTGTTTATATCTATTACTTTCTATGTTTCATTATACAACATAAATTTGTTTATAGTGTTTTTCTTTTGTTTTAAAAAATATAAGTTGTTTTATAAATCTATACAAATTTGTATTTATTAGAGATTGTGTAACCAAAAATATGCAGATTTTTTCTTATTGGTCGAGTTATGAGTGATATTGATTGATGTTTTTTTCTCTATTTTGTTAAACAGAGAATATATTAAAAAATGGAGGATTTGAAGAAGGTCCCTATATAATCCCAAACGCAACAACCGGCGTTCTGATTCCTCCCTTCATCGAAGATAAGAACTCTCCTTTACCCGCTTGGATAATAGAATCCCTCAAAGCCGTCAAATACGTTGACGTGGAACACTTCTCTGTCCCACAAGGCCGTCGAGCCGTGGAGCTGGTCGCGGGGAAAGAAAGCGCAATCGCTCAGGTGGCTCGAACCATCGTAGGGAAGAGTTACGTGCTTTCTTTTGCGGTTGGAGACGCCAACAACGCGTGCAAAGGCTCGATGATAGTCGAGGCGTTTGCGGGAAGAGATACCTTGAAGGTTGCTTATGAGTCGAAAGGGAAAGGAGGTTTCAAACGTGCTTCTTTGAAATTCGTGGCGGTTTCGAACCGCACTAGGGTTATGTTTTACAGTACGTTTTACGCGATGAGAAGTGATGATTTCTCGTCGCTGTGTGGTCCTGTGATCGACGATGTTAAGCTACTTGGCGTTCGTACACCCTGAAATGGTCTATGCCGAAAGAGTACTAGTAGTGGTCTTGTGGTGTAGGGTTTTATATAAGACAGAAAGGTCATGCACTCATGCTTATATTGATTTTCTTGTTATGAGAAGGCTGAGGAAATGTTGTCTTTTTATTACTAGATCAAGTGATTTACGAGATTAATAAAGGTTTCATACATCTATCTATACAATAAGAATTTGCCTATTAAAATTTGATATTTTATTTGTTTACGAACGTGTATATATATAAATCTGTTTGTGTAACCATTTAAATAGCAAATATATAGCTAACTCCCTTCTCTCGAAAACCAGTTAAAAAAAAAAAAAAAACTCCCTTCTCTCCCGGTGCATGTGATTTCCTAGGAGTAAAATACATTGCGAAAGGTTAAAATTAGCTGTAATTAATTTGAGTAACAACATATATTTTGTGTTTCACAATAAACTTAAGATCTTTAGTTAATTATATTAAAATAACAGAATTTTGATATTCTTTTACAAAAAAATAAGGCCACAAATATTCTGATGATTGTCAGAAATTAGTCTAAAGAACGGCATAAGACCATCCACAATGGTGTATTTGTGGATGGAGTCCTTAGCAATAAAAAACAATTTTTTTTTTTTGAATAGTTAAGGATCTTGATTCAAAATAGTAGGTGCATTGGTGTTATCCGGAATGGAATCCTTAGGAATTAAAAAATATTAAAAATATAAAATTGGAAAAATAAAATTTTATTAAAATTTTTTATTAGAAAGTTTTTTAAAAAAGATACAATAACTTTTACTGATCATCACCAAATTTGTTCCAAATATTCTCAATCAAATCATTTTTGAGCTGTTGATGTATACGTTTATCGCGAAGATGAATCCGAATGCCATTCATTTCCTCGATATTTGGAGGCATGTAGGCACTATAAGACATATCGACCCTTGCACTTCTGGTGGCACCTTCTTCTTCAAATTCCGATGTATCGTACTGAGTGTATCCATCTCTTTCATTTTCAACGATCATATTATGTATTATGATACACGTTCTCATAATCTTCCCTAACTTTTCCTTGTCCCATGAAAGCGCCGGGTTTTTGACAATCGCAAATCGAGCTTGCAATACTCCAAAAGCCCGCTCCACATCTTTTCGGGTTGATTCTTGAACTTTAGCAAATAACTCGGCTTTTGGACCTTGAGGAAGTGAGATAGATTGGATAAATGTTGACCACTTTGGATAGATACCGTCTGTGAGGTAGTACGCCAGATTATACATGTGTCCGTTGACCACGTACTGTACCGCGGGAGCTCGACCTTGCGTAATGTCATCAAAGACAGGAGACCGCTCGAGGACATTAATATCGTTTAAGGTACCCGGGAGACCAAAGAAAGCGTGCCAGATCCAAAGATCTTGTGAAGCAACCGCCTCTAACAAAATTGACGGTTTTCCTGATCCACGTGCGTACTGCCCTTTCCAAGAAGTAGGGCAGTTCTTCCACTTCCAATGCATACAGTCAATGCTTCCTATCATCCCAGGAAATCCGCGGACCTCCCCAATATCGAGGAGTCGTTGGAGATCCTCCGGTGTGGGTCTTCGTAGATACTCTTCTCCAAATAGCTGGATTATTCCGTCAGTGAAATGTTTTAAACATGAAAGTGCCGTGCGTTCACCAAGTCGGAGATATTCGTCAACCGCGTCAGCCGCAGAACCATAAGCAAGCATTCGAATTGCTGCCGTACATTTTTGTAGGCCTGTAAGACCTAACCTCCCGGCTGCATCTCTTCTTTGTTGGAAGAATAGAAATTCTTCGGAGAGGGCATTGACAATACGCATGAATAAGTCCTTGTTCATACGGAAACGGCGTCGGAATAAATGTGCCGGAAATGTTGGCTCTTCGCTGAAGTAGTCTCGCCATAGACGGTCGTGTCCGGATTCTCGGTGTCGTTCTATATAAGCACGTCGGTGTGGCTGTCTCGGTTGTGACTCCAAAATGTTGTCGTAGGTATCGTCTATGAGATCGTCGATAATTTCGTCTAATCTTTCGTCCACTCCATCGGATGAAGATGATGACATTTCCGGGTTTCGGTATTTATTTCTGGTCCGTCCTGCCATTTAAAAACACCAAATTAAATAATTGGTGCAACATAATAAAATTTAATATGCAACATAATTTTATAATGCAACATAATAAAATCTAAAGTGCAACATAATTTTATAATGCAACATAATATGGTCTATTTTTTTTCTTTTGAACACCACAAAATATGGTGTTTTATAATTTAAAAAGTAGGGAAATTTAATATGCAACATTATTTTATAATGCAACATAGTAGAATTGATATTGATACTTATTTACTTGTTAATACAAATATATATGCCCAAAGATTTTCAAAGTTTCACTTCGCATATTTCATTATGGTGTTTACAAGTTTAAATTCTTTACAAGATGATCATTTTGTTTGATATCAAGTTTAAATTCTTTGCAAGAGACACCTAAAGAGAGACACCTAAAGAGAGACAAAACTTGGCATCTCAAGAAACAAAAACAGCCGGGAACATAAAACAACTTCGCATTCCAATAGCATTACAACAAAAGAAGTTACCGAGTTTATGGATGCAATAGTAGTTGATTACAAGCCTGGAGTAAACCACAGACAGCCGAGAAATGAAACTAGAGATACAAGTGCTTGCCTAATGAGATGATACAAGAGAAAAAAGGTACTTCCTAATGAGATGATACAATGGAGACTTTTATACTAGCTTTTATCACTACCCGTGACTTCTTCTACCTTCTGAGAAAACAACTTCATTACCCGTGACTTCTTGTACCACAGCTACCCCTTCATTACCCGTGACTCCTTGTACCTTCAAGAGCTACACCTGAAAGAAAACAAAAGACAACAATTAGTAAAATACAAGAAAACAAATAAAGTTGTTTAACTACAAGACAAGCATGAAACAACTTGTTACTACCAATATCCAACCTATCATATCATCTCAGTCATGAGTTTCACTTTAAGAGATTCTTCCACCTCCGAGAGAGGTTCTTTTTTCGCAAGCAAACGTTCTAGAATCTTTTCTTTACAGGTTTTATGTTTGACTTCCAAGATGGACTGAAGCTGTGACATTTCTTCTTCCTCCCCACTCTTCTTTCTCTTGCTAGCAGCCTTAGCAGCTTTGACACCAACTGGTCTGGTTTCAGGCTCGGAAACTGGTTCTGTATCAACGTCGACGACTGGTTTGCGCTTGTCTTTCCCACCAAGGTAGGTCGTGCACCACTTCTGGTCATGCCTAAGCTCCCTCGACGCGTGTTCAAGGCCGAACCTCATGCCATACAATTTGTTAAACGAGTCCAGAGCCTCCTTCATCACATCGTTATCATTCTGGCCACTTCCCAGACCCCTCAATGCCGCGTCATGACAACCAACGAACTTACATACTTGTTCATTAATCCTAGCCCACCTCTGCTTCGCCGGACCAAGCTCTCTAGGTACCGTCCCAATCAGTTGAGGGCTCTCATTGTAGTAATCTACAATTCTCTTCCAGAAACGGTCAGCTTTCTGGTCACAGCTCACAATGCGGTCTTTGCTGGTGTTAAGCCACGCACCAATGAGGATTTTATCCTCATTGGTAGACCATTTCCTCCTCTCTTTGCTAGCAGACCTGACAGTAGGCTCGACAGGGGACTCAACACCAGATTGGAAAGAACACTCGGCTCCCTGTACGAAAGAAGACTCATCAGGACCTTGCCTACCGAACCAAGATGGCTCCGGAGACTCAAGATCAACTGACGTTTGACTATACAAAAGATTAATAAAGCCATTTGGGGGGGGGGTATTCATGTTTAGATTTTGGTTTGTGTTACTCTATTACCAACACAAACCCTTAAGTAACCGATAGAAAGTAAGTAAGCATTTAGTTTTGGAGTAGTTAGGCAGATAGAAAAGCATTTACCACCGCTCTAATCACAGTAATAAGTTCTACACCAGCTATGTTTAACCTAACAAGTACGGAGGCATCAAATCACGCATTAAAGTTCTACACCAGCTATGTTCAACTCTCATTTTGAAACCAAACCAAACAAAACAAGGTGAAGTTAATATTATATAATCTCGGAGAAGTTCCTCTGTAATATTAATACATCATATTAATATTAGATCATATTAATTTTAAAAGAGACGAAAGAACTTAAAGAAAATATTTGAAATTTTTAGTTCCTCTGTAATATTAATATATCATAAGTATTTTTATTAGTCAAAGTTATTTTACTCAAAGTTATTTTACTCAAAGTTATTTTACTCAAAGTTATACAAGAACTATGCTCTATAAGTTATATTACTCAAAGTATAGTAAGAAAGAAACAAATTACCTTAGAGGCCCATTCCAAGTTGAGACACTGATGTTCAAATCCACCGAAACTATTCCTTGAAAGACATAAAAGAAAAAACAGTTAGTTGGATAGCCAAATTTATTTAACTGAAGAATGTATAAAACTTACCAACATACGATGACCAGTATTAGCAAGAACAGTAGACAAACTACCTTCCCCAACCCATCCATAGCACCTGCTTTCTTCTTAGTTAACACACCCACGATTTTCTCGAGCTTAGCCACCTTTTGATCACTCTCAAAGCATTGATCCTTGACCATCCTAAGTTGTGTCTGCGTTTCAAGAAGCTCCTCTTGAATCGCCAAATCCCACCATTTCCAGATGTGAGTGTCTCCATCGTCTACGTTGGAGCAGTAGAAGTACCTCCTTCCTGGATCTTTTGCAGTGTACGACGTCTCAACAACTGGATCACTGCCGCAGTAGCATATCCGCGGTATGCCTTCATCAGCCTCAGGTTCCATTCTGTACTGAACCGCCGCTGCACATGTGAAGCTACTATCTCCTTCATCCGCATACAGAGCAGCCTCTGCTTCAAGTAAGGAGTTCATGTCGAACTCCTCTGATGAAGAAGGCTGCGTGTAACTGTAGTCTTGTCCCATTGCCTGCAAAAAAAAACATAACAAAACTAAG